CACAATTGTCTGTAACTCCAGTTCCAGGGCTTCTGACACCTTCACACAGGCATACATGCAGGCAAAACACCAACCCACATAAAATAAAATAAATTTAAAAAATTAACGCCCTGAGTTCAATTGACGATGCCTGCATGCCTCTGGGCAACCTATCAGCTGCCACACTTTCAAGGAAAAATGACGCCCCCCCCCCCATAGCAATCATCAGTTGCCAATCACAGCTCAGAGTGAAGCATCATAAGACCTTCCCATAAGGGCCTGAGGTTTCTGAATAGAGAGACCACATACCAGAAGCTCCTCAGAGGCCAAAACTACAGGGATTGTGTTCCTGCCATCATCTTCCTTGAGTGACCCAAGGGCAGCATGACCCCCATGCTGGCTGTTTCTAGGTCATGAGAGTACACTGGAGGAAGGGTGATGAATCTGTCAGTCATCATCCATTGCTCCATCACACCACTTATAAAAATTAGTGGATCAAAGTCACAAGTGTAAGCTGAAACTATAAAAGTCTTAGCCGACCTCACCATGTTTGTTTTTTTGCTTTTTGGGCCAGCATTTCACTATATGGCGCTGGCTGGCCTTGAACTCATAGAGATCTATGTGCCTCTGCCTCCTGAGTGCTGGGATTAAAGGCATATGCCATCTTGACTAGCTATCATTCATCTTCTTTGATGGAAGCACCATGGACAAGCAAGGTGAGCCCAAGTCTGGAGACAGCACTGACTTTTATTAAGAAAAAAAAATCATTGTTCTCTTCAGAGTAAAGAAAGTGGTTCAATGCAGTCAGCCTGCTGCCTGAGGTCTGGGTTTCCTTCGCTCTCCCAGATTGCGGCATCTGTCTAAAGTCAGGCTCAGCACCCAGATTGGTAGAACCCAGTCAGGCTGGTGCGAGGCGATTGCACAGCTTCAAACCCTGGCTCCCAGACCTCTCTCTTTAAGAACTGTCGTGCAGATATTCTGGGTGGATGGAGAGATGCTCACTCAGCAGTTACATCATTCTGTCTCCTTGAAGAGAAGCTCCTGGCAGCAGATACTGTGCAGTGGTGTACTTGAGACCCAGAGGTTTACATGTTCAGTGACCACCCCCAAGTATCCAGCTTTGTCACTGACTTGTTCTTAGGAAGCAGGCTCCTGAGCAACTAAACCTTTACACCCTAGAGGTCAAGGAATACCCACACTTCTTCCACTTTTGTGGAGATAAAGCTAATGCCTGGGACCACTGCTCTGTGCGTTGTGTACATGCTGGCACTTCCCTTTGCCATTGTCCTTTCAGACTGTCCTGGCAGTGGCAACAGTCTCCTTCTGATGCACTAACAAAGCATACTGAACCTCTGAGCATCAGGCTGAAGTTTCTTTCTTAACTATTGGTTGGCCACAGATAAATCTAAGATGGCTCTTCAATGTTTCCCTTGGGAAGTGGCCCCTCTCCTACAGCTCCTTACCTTTTACATTCTAGCCAGACCCTGCCAGATGGGAGCAGGTTGGAGTACTACTTTCCTAAGGTTTGATACCCCTCCAGTACTCATAAGCAGATGGCTGCTGGTCTTGCTGAGGGAGTGCCCTTCATGTGCCTGGTATTGTGCTAAAAGCTGGGCCAGCACCAGGATGGAGAAAGAGGGAGGCATAAGAGGCAGGGGTACAAATTTCAAGGAAGTCTCAAGGTTATGCAATTCTCAAGTCTTAAATGTTATACCTTATGCCCTCCCAATAAGAGTGTCACACGTACCATATCCTT